CCAATGTTCTACATTTCATTTTTACTCCTTTCTCTATAACCTGCACAGTCCAATATCGCAGTTGTCTGTGTCTTTTGGAAGCACAGTGAAGCATTTTGTGTGTTGTAGTTTAGCCAACAACTTTCATAAGTATTAAGATAAGTGAAGTACTGGTCCCAGAAAATACTGCCATGATTTCTGCTAATCAATTTATGCAGTATTGGTTGGCACGCCCAATGGTTCGGGCTCCAAAAACCAGAACAAGAGGCTCCTGATTGGCCAAGTTACTTAAGAGAGATGGAAAAGCTCAAGTCAGACGTGTAATGTGTATATTTGCACACAATTAAAGAACTAGAAAAGTATATTTTTATTTTTTATTATTTTGGATTAATTTAGCATATTTTGAATTTGTTATGTTTACAATAAATTTAGAAAGTGGGTCCCTTCCTCCCTGGAAAGAATGTGACATGTCCAGCTTGGAGTTCCTGAAGCATTTATCTCTTGCCTTCTAACAACGTGCATGCATGGGGTGATTCAATTTAGTCCATAAAGTTACCTATACTGGGATATATGCAACATTATGGCACATTATTAGTATTACTCCCACTCCCCTTGGTAAGCAGTGGTGAAAGCTTCTGATAAAATGTTATAATTTTCCACTGGGAAATGGCACACACACACACTATTCGTTTCTATGTTAAATAGGGGCAGACGCGAGTTATGTTTTTGAGATGGAAGCGGCAGGATATGGCGATCGACTGGATATGAGGGGTGAAGGAGAGGTCGGTGTAAAAAAAAACACCCAGGCAACAAACCTGTGAGGTAGAGGTGATGGTAGCACCATTGACTTGGTGGGAGACAGACACAGGAGTAGTAAAACTTGAGGGAGGAAAGACCAGAAGTTCTGTTTTGGACAGGTTGAGTTTAAGGAAGTGAGCAACCATCCAGTTGGAAATTGCAGAGAGGTAGTCAGAGACACGAGTCAAGATAGGCAGAGAGAGATCAGGAGAGGAAAGGTAGATTTGTGTGTCATCTGCATATAAATGATAACGGAAGCCAAAGGAACTGATGAGTTTGCCAAGAGAGGCAATGTAGACTAAGAACAATAGGGGACCAAGGAAAGAACCTTGGAGAATGCCAACAGAGAGGGGTTGGGGAGAAGAGTCAGAGCCAGAGAAAGAAACACTGAAAAAGTGCTGGGAGAGGTAGGAGGAGCACCAGGAGAGAGCAGTATCTTGTAAACTGAGATTACAGAGAATGAGAAGAAGCTGTTGATGATCAAAGGCAGCAGAAAGATCAAGGAGAATTAGAATAGAGTAATGGCCGCAAGATTTAGCAGCGATTTAATCATTGGATACTTTGGTCACAGCTGTTTCAACAGAGTGACGAGCTCAGAATCCAGACTGAAGCGGGTCAAACAAAGAGTTGGATTCAAGGAAGTCTGTCAATCTCGCGTACACAACTCTCTCAAGGATCTTGGAGGTAAATGGCAGTAGCGATATAGGGCGATAGTTCGATGGGGAGTTGGGGTCGAAGCTGGGCTATTTCAGAATCCACGTTATAGTTGCATGCTTGAAGGGTGAAGGAAATGTGCCGGAGGAAAGGGAGAGATTGAAAATTTTAGTAAGAGGAAAAGCAAGAGAGGGAGACAGAGTGCAAATGAGATATGAGGGAGTAGAACCAAGGGAACAGGTGGTGGGGTGGGAGGACCGGAGCAGAAACCTCTTCCATTGTAGTAGGTGCGAATGAGCATAAAACAGTGGAGTGAGTTGGGTTTGGTGATGTATTGGAAGCGTAGTGAGAGAGGTTAGAGATCTCTTCCCTGATTGTAGAAATCTTCTCAGTGAAGTGAGTTGCAAAGTTTGAAGCAAACAGGGTGGTAGGGGGAGGGGGAGTAACAGGGCAAACAAGAGCGTTAAAAGTGTGAAGTAGGCATTTGGGAAAACTGCAATGTTTAACATTGCAGTGCTTATGGGACAGGGACACTGCACCCAGACCACATCAATGAGTTGAAGTGGTCTGGGCGCCCACAGTTTCCATGTAAGCCAGTTTGGTCATAACTCCGTCCTTAGTAATAAATGATTATCTGACCCTGTAATAGTAATATATGTATTTATCAACCTGACACAACATTAATTAGGTTGATCTGTGTGAATCAATAGCAATAGGCAATGTTTACACTAACTGACCAAATCCGCTATTTCTCCTGTTATTGTGCAGGTAAATGTAATACTGTATGTTTGAGATTCATAAAGTATTGTGACGTACTAAAACCTCACAAAATATAGAACAATGGTATGATCCGATTCTGTGAACTGATGTTCGTTACAGGATGAGATTCTAGTTAAGCATGCTCCTTGGTTGTATCTTTTCCAAGTTTGTTGCAAAATGAAATT